CTTTCCAAATGGCTACCGTGGACACCAACACTTTGCAATTAGATATTTCTGTGGCTACTTGTAAGTATTTTATCAGTGATATATGTAGCTTAGGCATCAACAAGCAAAAATCGTGGCCAAAAGTGATTTTGGCTGTTTATTGAAAATGTGGGGGAAAAAAGTAAGAGCATTATTAGGAATGTTAAGAGGTCACTTGCTCATTAGCAGAACCGCCGAACTAGGGATGTTATATAATGGTTACTTCATAAGCTGCCGGGAAGTATAAGAAGACTATGCTGCAGAATTTATTCTATGCAAATTTCGTATTGGAGAAGGTTCGCAAAAATTAGTTCCAATTTTCCTCAGTAGTTGCATATATTAGACTGGTGGAATTAATTAACTTTTTTAAGTTTACAAGGCACCTCAAAGTGGTTATAAGAGTGTGAGGCGAACTACGGTCAGGGTGGTATCACAATGGTCATCAAAGTTCCTACCTACTCAAATTGAGTTGAAAACGATTAACGATAAGACTTGTACTAGTAGCATGCCAAAAGGGCTTTAAAGTATTTGAGATACCGAAAACGGCGCCCCTCGTAGGCACAGTGCACCTCACCACACGTTCAAATGATGTAGAGAGTTGAGTTCCAGAACGGATTCTTCATACAATGGTGACGTAGAAAATGAAGAATTTTTGCTGATATTTTCATTTCGTTTTGTTCAGCTTTAACTGCTCATTGCGCCTTATCTCTGAAAATAAATGAAAAGGAGCAAAATTTAAAAAATATATATTGTATTTGTATACTTCTTATATATGAAAAATAGAAATGAAAAATAAAAATCCTTTACTCTTGGCTTTTATGTACCGCCAGACCTTGCTTCGCAGGCTGCGTTGGCGTCCGTTATGCGTTTTTGTACCTTTCTTTTTCTTTTTTTTTTTTTGCTTATTTTATTTCTACTGCTAAATTTTGCTGTTGCGCTGTTGCTGTCTTTCGCAATTCCCTTAAATTATTGTTCCCTTAAGTAAGTACGGACATGCCCCAACATTTTTATATTAGCCATAAAAATATTGCAGTCCTCACGAAGTCTGCGTCTGTTTTTAATGCTACAATTGCTACAAATTACTAATACATATATATATATATATATTATATACGTTATATATATATATATTATATACGTTCATACATGTATATAAGCATATTAGTAAAGCCACTCTTTTGACCATAAAAAATATGAACTTGCTTTCTTTCCACGCACTAATACAAGTATATATCTTTGTGAGAATGTATTTATTTCACTCCACTTTAAGTATCTTTATATTGTTTATGTTTTGATCCCACCCGCCTCTGTTGTCGCCATCACTTTTGCATCAGTGAAGGCAAACAAAAGCTGTTGTGTCTCGAACGCTTCAAATCTACTCGCTTTTACACTCACTTTATCATGCGCAAAGGGGTGCTATTAGCAGTGTAGGAGTACAGAAAAGAATATTTTCACATTTAAGATGTGTCCCGCGGAAGACAAGACTTACGAAAAATACCATTTTACTAGTAGGTGGTTTTTGAGACTATATTGATTAAATTTCGATGAAATCTTTTTTGGTAGTCTCGCCTTATGTGGGACACATGAAAGTATAAATATATAAGCACATATATACGTAAATAATTTTAAAATGCGTACTGTCTTAACTCTACACACTCGTATAGCTACAAAAATATAAACAACGGCATTCATTTCTTAATGTACAAACATATATGGAACATACATTTATAAAATTTTTTGTTGTGTTAAGATTTCATTTGGTTTATTTTGATTGGTGGCGTAGAAAAATGCTGCAAATAATTACTTTTCATTCGTCTCATTGTGTTTTGGCTCGGACTGACAGCAAGCAAGCACCCAAGCATGCACACACACACGGTCAAAAACAATTTCTCCATTCAATTCGGTGCGAGTTTATAGCACAAATTCCTTACAGACTGCGATTAAAAACTTTATACATTTTAAGATTTTGCCAAATGTGCAATCAAAGCGTTTACTTAAGTGGTGTTTGAAGTAAAAGCTGATAAATATGGATTTTTAAAGTCTCGAACAAATTACTTTCACATCTTCGCATGCGGGTTTTATCTTTATTTCTCTCTACTAAAAGGAATGGGCGAAATTTATTGTTATTTTTAGGTTTAGTATTCTGACATCTAAGAAATACTTCATTTATAGTTTATGGCTAGACATAACTAATTGAAGTCGGCGAGATCTTCCAAAGGGGAAAAATGAAGCAAACTGTATTGGCAAACTTGGTCCGAAAAAAAGTGTGATTGTATGAGCAGGTTTTAGGGGACATACAATAAAGTTATAAGCGTCTAGTGGGGGTCCAGTGCATGCAAGACGTAGTTGATTTTGTAGAAGTTGAGTCGAGATAAGTAGAAGTTTAACTTACTACAGTTTCCAAACCTAATTTGTGAGAGTATCACGCGGTCAACTCGAGCGATTCATCTGCTATGGGCAGCGATTAAATTCCGATGACGCCATTCATCGGCCGGGAGTTTCGACTGAATTTCCTATACCAACAGAAACTGTTGGCACAGAAAAATATTACTGGAATAGGTGTCTCGTTTATATAGTGTGGACACGCTCTGTTACCATCCGCAAGGTGGTGTTCTAATATTTAAGAACCTAATTTTTCTTCTCTATCTCGCTTGTCCCTGACTTTAAAATTGTTTTTGGGCAATTTAGCAACATTATTTGTCTCTTTTCTTTGAGCAGAAGCTATCAGTATCCTGATCATGAAATTATTCGGTGACCACCTACCAATTTGGTAAATAATTAATGGTTGACGCTGACATTATTGAGGAGCCACCAATGTTGAAATAGAGGTTTTTGTGCTAATGTAGGTTGGATATAGACTAGTTAGCAAAGCGTCATATTATGTTCCCCTTATTTACAGGCGTAGACACCGCTTACGCGATTGTAGCCGAGTTGACAACATTGCGCCATTCGTTCCTTCTTTCGGCTGTTTGGCGCTAATTGGAAATACCAAGTACAACCAGGTCCTTCTCTACCTGGTCTTTCCAATGTAGTGTAGGTCTTCCTCTTCCTCTGCTCCCACCGGCGGGCACTGCATCGAAAACTTTCAAAGCTGGAGTTTTCGTAACCATCCGGACCACATGACCTAGCCAGTGTAGCCACTGCTCCTTGATTCGCTGAACTAAAACAATATCGCCGTATAACTCGTACAGCTCATCGTTCCGTCGACTGCGATATTTGCCATTGCCAACGCGCAAAGGATCATAAATCTTACGCTAATTAAGTTCTCCGATACGGAAAATTTTTACTGATTCGTATTACGAGGCTGGCATGGATGTAATCGACAATAGTAGTCGTGACAGTTCTAGGAAGTTTACGGTCGGTTGTCAGTTCTACGCCCCAAAATTGAACCAGATTTTGTCCGAACAAGGGCAATACCTTTTGGGTGACCTACCAAAGATCAGCAAGTAAACTTCTTCATAATTTCGTATAAAGAGTTCCAACACTTGACACGTTATACAGTAGAATACTGTTTACAAGTGAACTTTGCCTGTTCGACTAAGGCGCGAAATATGGCTGAGAAAAAACTGTTGAAATATTCGGGAGCTACTGGACCAGAAGGCCCGAAAAGCAATCAACATACATCCAGCCCTTTGAAGGTGGCAGTCTGCGGCGTACTCTAGTAGCTTCAATCGTACGCAAGAAAAAGCCTCGCTTTATCCTTTGCAGTGTCACAAGCACTTCGTTTGGCCTGCGAATGAAGTTGACTGATCCTTGATTAAATTAGAATGAAAGACCATCTTACCGAATTATAGGTGTACCCTCTTAAGTTGTGTGAAAAATTCTTATTATTGCAAACCTAGAAATCGAACCACAAATGAAGCTATTTGCAAGAAAAGTCACGTGCAAAGAGTATTCAGAGAGTGAGCGCATTGTGTGCGGGGCACAACAAAAATTTGCTAGAAAATTTGGCAAGCAGCTAAACCAAGTGTAGGAAGTAGTCGTATAAACACACATATATACATACAAAAAACACACGCACACACACGTCAAATAGGCTAAAAATCTTTGTTCAAGGCACATGCTAATTTTCCGAACAGCAGGCGAGTGAAGCTGGCAATGACTGCTGAATGCTTAAACATACTCAAAGCTTTTGTTGCTATTGCCGTTGTTGTTGCTGTATAGGCACATTGTTTCTTCGTTTCTGGATTTCTGCTGCTTTCATAGGCCACACGCTGTGCACAAATAGGACGTCCAATTGAATATTGTGTGTATTTTATTTGCATAATGTTTACTGGCATTCAGTGCACTTTGCTCTGCTCTCTCTCTCTCTAGTTGTTTGAGCGCTTCGCTTTGTTTCTGCGTTTTTCTGCTGCATTTACGGTTTTTAATATTTATTATTATTTTTTGTTCTTTACTTTTTATTTTTTTTTTTTTTTATTTTGCTTACTTTTTCGGCTCTCTCTCCTTCTCTATCTATCTGCCAACTGCCTTTCCTTAGCCACTTCCTGCATATTTCAAGGCGATTTCCGTGCTTCATGCTGTGCTTGAAAACGTTTCCTGCGCTGCGTTGCACTGCACTTTCTGTCTTTCTGTCAGGGTCGGTTAACGGTATTGCATTCGCCAATTTAATGTTCGCAATTTTATGGCTACTTAGACCCTGACAGTGTTGCAATTTGAGATTTCATTTCCATTTGCCGCAGCAGGACGGCGAGTCGACGAGTCAACGAGCCAACGAGCCAACAAGTCTCAAGTGTTTTGAGTGAATATTGCTTTTTTTTGTTTTTTATTATTATTATTATTATGCAAAGTTTCTACTCATTTATGTATGTTTCATTTCTGACTGCCAACAAATCGCCGTTTTGTAATAATAATTCCTTGCAAAAGCGCGCATCTCTTCATTTTAAATAAACTATTTGCCTGCTAAAGAATTTCATTTAGTTTTTATTACTTTTTATGCGCCAAATATTTAAAATCCATCTTCTGCCTCTTTCTCTTTTCAGATGCCGCTCTGGGCGAAGTCTTCGACACACATCTGCGCGGTCCCGGCTTCGTCATGGAACCGCCTGGTCGGGTGGAGTTCTCTAATTCGTCTGGCGGTTGGCTCGATTGTTCGGCGTCCGGCAGTCCACAGCCCACCATTGACTGGGTGCATGCCGACGGCACTGCAGTGTCGGAGATTCATGGCGTACGTCGTGTACTGCGCAACGGCACGTTGGTATTGCTGCCATTTCCGGCGGCGGCTTATCATCAGGACGTGCACAATACGATTTATCGTTGCATCGCCAGCAACAGTGTGGGGCGCATCGTGTCGCGGGATGTGCAAGTGCGTGCCGGTGAGTAACCAATAAGCAATAAACTCTTATGCTGCTTTAATAATATTTTTTATAAAATTTCTCCTGAGCGATGCACATCTACTTGCATATATTTATATAAGCGTACAAAGTTTATACAATACTTCGGTCGATGATGAGATTGCGCACGTTGTAGTTCATTGTCGAGTGGGTGACATGGAAATGAGAAATTGCTTCGTGTTAAATTCGACATTTCGTTTGAATGGACGCCTTGCGGGAGCTTTAATATTCAATATGAAATGCCAAGTTTGCCTACAATATTGGGCAAGTTAACTTGCAACGTAAAAAAGATAAAAAGTTTTAGACGAAATAAATTCCATTTCTTTTTGAGCCTTCCGACGGGTCCCAACGTATCAAACGACATGATACTTTTTATTCCTCCTATACTTTTTCAAAAGTTAAAATAAAATTTTGTTGACTTCCGAAAGGCGCGCTTTTTCCTAAACCGCTCCGAGGAATCACTGCAATAACACCGATAAAAACTTTCCCAACGAGTTCCATTGTTGCCTGAGAACGAACTGTACTTAAGACTTAGACTTAAGACGCAAGATGAGACTGCGCTGTGGAGGATTGAGTGATATTGGATTAGATTTTGCATAATTAAAATGAAGAAATGTCACAATTGAGAGTCAGCGTGGCTAAAGCCTCGTTTGGTATCGAACGTAAGGAAAGCTGCTTTCCAGTTTCGATGGAGTTACCGGCGTCGTTAAGTTCTTATAACCTGCAGTTGCCATCCATCTTCTAGCTTCGTCGTAGGAAATGATATGACTATTTTTTCACCCTCAACTATTTAAGCTCAAAAGTTTCCCAGATCCCACAGGAGATGGCTGGTCAAACAGATATCTTTCTTACTAGTCACAGAGTCATAGAGTAAAGCCGCATACCAGACGAACTTGCTAATCAAGGCACGACAAAGCCAATTCTACATAAATAAAGCATTGGGACGTCTCTCGCAACATGCAAAAGATTTAAAAATTTAATTTATAGGTAGGCTTTGTTGAGGTGAGAAAAAATTTCAGCGTGTCACAAGTCTTGTCTGAAGTCGAACCGGAAGAGGTCGAGTTACTTATAATTTTTGAGAAATAGCTGAAATATCAATGGTATCAGCGATCCTTTTGAAATTATGACTGATAAACTGGCATGCAGAAATGGCTGGCAGTCAATTCGTGAGGTGGCACGATTTTTTCTTGTTGTGCGATTGACCTGCTTCAAGTAGGACTACACCTAGTTTTTGAAGCAAAGCCTATGGCATGTGACAGAAGCTAAAAAAAGCGAAATTGAGATGGACTCTTCCATCTTCAAAGTCTTAGAGGTGGAGTTCTAACTTATTATGAGAACCGTTTGTCGAGCTTTTCAATTTTGGAATTGAAATTAACAAAAAAGAGCAAACAGTTTTAAATTTTATACCGTTACTCTCTAGCTCTCTCGCCAATAACTGCAATTAAACTCCTCTTCTTCTCATCTTGCAGTTGTCGCACAAGCATACAAAGTGGACGTCGAGGTGCTGTCTGCCGCCCGAGGATGCACCGCCATTCTGCGTTGTGTAGTGCCGACGTTCGTTAAGGAATTGGTGCGAGTGGTCTCGTGGGTTCATGAACCCGCTATCTACATTTATCCATCGCTGCAAGGAGGTAAGTGTCAAAGAGTTTTTAGTTTCCCAGTTTTTCATTTTTTATACTCAATTTTGTTTTTTTTTTTTGCATTTATCATCTTCCACGTTTTTATTTTTGTTTCGTCAAAGAACTAAGAGTTACGTGTGAGCGGATGAGCGGGTGAGCAGGTGAGCAGCGCAATATGCGACAAAAAGTTCGTCTACAAATGAGTGTTGAGTCTGTGCTGTTGGTTTTTCGCTCAAGCTTCTATACGCTGGCAGCGTGCGCAACCGGTGTGTGAGCTCTTGGCTCGGCATTAAAGGTGAAAATGTGATTATTTTGCTAGAGTGGCAAAATAGCGACAGCCAGAGGCATACAACAACACTTGTGCGTACATTATCCTCTCCTTTTGTTGAGGTTCGGAGGCCGCCACAGGCGTGTTAGTGGGTGGGCTGTTTTGCTGCGGCATTCGCTTGTTTGCTTGTTCGTCAGTGTGTGTACGTGTGGGTGTGTCGCTGGTGTTATGCTTGCTTCTTGTCGGTTCCTGCATAATTAACATGACTTTTTGTCAGCAGCAAGCACATTTTATATGCGTCGCGTCGCCTCGCGCCGCTTAAGCCCTCTTAGTCATTTTTGGGCTTCTTACTTTCTTGATTAAGATTTACTTTGTCAAGATTTTTGTTTTTGTTATTATTTCTGCTTTGATTTGCCTTTTTGGTTGGGATTTGAAGACCTACTTCTCACTAGGCATCAAAGTATAGCATTTTTTGAACACTGATTAAATAAATGAATAAAATAGAAGGTAATTAATAAATAAATAAACAAATTTTTAACTTTTTTGCTTCTTCTTCTCTCAACAGATGGCAAATTTCATTTACTGCCCACCGGTGAATTACTTATTCACAATCTACAGGAGAGCGATGAGTCGCAATCGTTTCGCTGCCGTAGCATGCACCGGCTAACGCGGCAAGTGGTTGTCAGCTCGCCAACCCGTCTCAGGATTAATTGTAAGTGGCGTTTTTAAACAGTACTTTTTTTTTATAAGTATTAAATGCCTATAGGAAATATATTTTTATATATTTTATATTAAAAATAGTTTGTGAAGTTTTTTCAAATTTTATTTTATGTTTAATTGAATTTTTAATTAAAATGCAATTTTTAATTTTGGGCAAAAATTAGTGAAAGCAATAAAAATTCTACTGAGATTTTTTCGGCTTATATTTTATTTTATATTTTTATTTCAACTTTTTTCTCATTGCAAATTGTTACTTTTGAATAATTTATAATATTTTATCTATCCAATACATATATATATATATATATTTTGTATATATGTATGGATACATATATCTACTTCTATGCACTTACATACACATTGTGTGCTTTCCAATAATTTTCATTTAATTTTAGTTTTATTAATTAATTGATTTTATTTATTTATTTTAATTTTTTTGTTGCTGATCAACGTGGCCACAAAATCATGTGTTGAATACATTAATTAAATAAACTTTTAATTTCAACGCGTAAATGCACATGAATGAATTATTTATGTGTTGCTTTATTTCATTTTAAGTATGTACGCAATATGCGTGTGTGTATATGTGCGTGTTTTTAATTTACGCTTAAATTATTTCTTTAGCTAATTGTTTGCTTTAATTTATTTTTTATGAAAAGCAACCACAAATGCATAAATTACTATTTTACACTCAAAATTACGTCGAAAACACAAAAATGCAAAAAAAAATAAAAACAAAGAAAAAATTGTTCACAATTTGCTTTGTTAATTTTAATTATTTGCATATTTATTGGAAAATATATTCCATGACATATACATGTACATATATATCTATATATAGATATATGAATTTTTATTAAGGCAAACTAAAATATATTTCAAATATTGTATACCAATGTTGTTTATATAAATACATATTTTAAATCCCTGCATACACATATACATAAATGTATATACACTGTAGTGGAAACCTGAACTAGTTTATAATAATTCTAGTTAAATATTGGTAATTAAAAACGAATACATGACGAGTTGCAATTTTTTGATATACCATCGAAAGAAATAATACAAATTTCCACTATATACCTTTGGTATTTTGAGTTAATTTTCAACACACCTTGGACGCATATTGGATGCAATATGTATGAATTAACTAGTATTTTACTACTGAGCAGATAATGTATAACCTGAGGGGTACTTTAAAAATACCAGTCGCTAAATTTTTTATTATTTATTTTAATTATTGGATTTGCATTGAAATCGAATAACTAACAATAAGTAATAAAATCTTAAATTAAATTAAGATATGAACCCCATTAGTAGGAATAGGCTGTCAGCTAGACTTTGCCCTTTAGAAGGCTAGTTTTTCTGTTCTCCGCTGGTGCTTTGACTTTTTGCCTATGCCAAAAAGTTAGCCAAAGAGTTCGGATGGTTACGAAGGTTTATTAAGTTTTTTGTGCTGCGATCTATAAAAATATATAAGTATTTTATTTTAATTTCGAACGAACAAGTGGCATATTTTTTCTTAGTTTAGGAACAATTTCATTTGTATTTTCGATTTCGTTACTATAATTATTATTGGAATGAATAAGTTCACCCGGAAATCTCAGTGTTTGACCATAAACTAATTCAGCTGAGGAACATTTAAGATCGTCCTTAATCGCTGTTCGTAAACCTAATAGAATCCACGGTAAAATTTCAGACCAATGAACTGACCCATTTGATGCTTTAATTGCAGTTTTCAAAGTTCTATGAAATCTCTTCAATCATTCCATTTTACTGTGTATGATACGGAGGTGAGCGTATTTTGTGAGAACCTAAAAGCTTGATTAATTTATTAAATAAATTTGAAGTAAATTGTATTACTGGATCAACCGTTATATAGAATGGTATACAAAAATGTATAAATATATTTGCAACAGAAACCGCTGAAAAATCTTTAAATGGATGTGCTTCCGGCCATCCAGTATGTCTGTTAATGATTGGTAATATGTAACGATTCTCTTTTGGAACTAGAAAAGGTTTAATAAATCCATGTGCATCTTCAAGGGAATATTAATCTTGTGAACTGGTTTTTGTTCTTAGTAACTTTAGATTTCTGACGGTTAATGCAAGATTATGTCTAATTCTTAGTTTCTCTCCGCATATTAGGCCAAAAATGTTCCGACTGAATGCGTCGTTGAGTTGTTCGAATACTTGGATTTCGAATTCAATTTCTTCAAAAATAATTTTTCGCTATGAATTTGGAACATATGGTCTAAAATATATATTAAGATTTAGAATAGGTATATTAATTTATTCCATTTGGCCGAAATCGCTTCAGCGGTTACAAAGCGCCAATTGTATAAACATATGTATTGGGTGAGTGCATAAGTTCGTGCCCGATTTCAAGTGCAAACTAAAATGGGAATTTTTTGAAGAAAGCGCTTTTATCAATCATCATATCAATTATGTATTCGCCATCATTTTTGGCAATCCACTCCCACGTTCAACCAATTTACGGATGCCTGGTTCATAGAAATCGCGCGGTTTCTCGTTGAAAAAGGTGTCAAGGTGGTTTTTGGCGACTTCCACATTTTTAAATTTTTTTCCATTCAAATTGTTCTGCACCGATCGAAACAAATTATAATCAGAAGGTGCAATGTTAGCTGAATATGGGGGATGCGGCATGATTTCCCACAACAATACTTGTTGGCAGTGATCGTTTCTCCAGCTGGCAAGAGCTCAAAATAGATCACGCCTCGGATATCCCACCAAATGCACAGCAGTACCTTCATCGGATGCAATCCACCTTTCGACATCGGTTCCGCCCCTTCGTGTGCAGTTGATTTGTTGACGTTCAATTCACTGGTAACGTCTTCCGTCGAAATACGTGAGTCATTCGCAACTTAAGTCCTTAGAACATCGTCATCAAACTCAGAAAGCCGTCCACTGCGAGGTTGATCTTCTAGGTTAAAACCTCCAGAACGAAATTTCGCGAACCATTTCTTTACTGTGCGGAGTGCACGGTCCAAATAAACTTCGCGAATATCTTTAGTTGCAGCGCCTACTGTTTTTCCTTTGCGGAATTCGTATAACATAATATGATGCATATGATCTTTTTCTCTAAGCAACTCAAATCAAAATGAAGTTACTTTATGCTTGTTTTACAGTTCGGACTGTCACCTTTCCAACGAAATATAATATGTATATATTTCTTTCACGAGCGCCACTCTCAAACGATTCGAACGGTATCCAGCGAAATCGGGCACGAACTTATGCACTTATCCAATAGATTAATTTCTTTTAAATGTTTTAATTTTTGTTTAAAGAGAAGCTATTGCAGAAATTATAGTTGATATTAATCCACCTTCGTTTTCGAATAAATATGAAATAATTAATAAAATTCTTTAAGAGAGATTTTCTCTTAGTGAAGAATGAAGACAAGAACACTTTTTAAATTTTGAATTCGAAAACTACCTCAAGAATTTTCAATTCACTCAGCTTCTTCTAATAATCAAAATAAAGACAAAATTATTATTTTGACTCATGAAATTTTCGATTTGATTAATAAACTTTAGATATCTTCAATAGCCTCAACTTTCAATAATAATAATATTTTAGAACAATGCATTAAAAATTTAACCGATTTAACAACTGGGAAAAAATTGAAATAACGTTAAATGATTCCAAATAAGTTGAAAATAATAATTTACAAATTGTAAAAATGGATTGGGCATGCTTAAATCCCTATGGATGTTTTTATTACGTATGTAACACCTGTTATTAATCTTTACGTTTACCGTTGCAACTTTTGAATTATATCTATATTCGATCCTTATTTGTCGCGAAAGATGAGCTCCATAACCGGGCTTTGTCCAAAGCTAAGTCCAGACTTCTTGCTTGAATTCCACTGTAAACTGGCGGATTTGCGTTTGAGCTGAAGCTATATCGCGGAAATGTGTCGTTTTTAGGCTAAGCGTCTTTCTAAGTGGCGAGGTATGTTATTTCGTAAGCTTGCAGAATCGGTACGTTGTTGGAGCAAGGCATGTTTTTGGCTTAAATGTAAAAGTTACCACTTGTTTTCATTAACCTCATACTTCATTTGCTAGCCACTCTTTAATTAGTTTACTTTTGTGGTTCTAAGGGGGCATTTGTGATGACTCATTATAGCAGTATTGTTCGCAAATGTTGACGTAGTTAATTTATAATTTGTAGGAATATCTTCGGGGCACAGTATGTTTATTGATGGACCAAGAACACTACCTTGCGGAATACCTGCCGATCTTAGATACTTCTCCAGTACTCATTTGGTTTTAGTGTTAAAAGTTTAAGTAAGATTCAATGATTTAGATTTCATTTCGTTAGGTAGTAATTATTTAATTTTATATATTTATTAGACCATCTAGAAAAACGGTAGGGATATCCTCTGAATTCGAAAGATTTTTTTATTTAATTTTTTATGCGATTTTTTCACGAAATCCAAGTTGAAGTGTAGAAATTATATAATTCTCATCGAGAAGAGGAGAAATTTTTAATAGCAGCACTTTCTCGAAATGTTAGAATAGGCAAGGCTTATTGGTCTATGTGAAAACGACAGGGTTGGGTCTGTACCTGGTTTATATTATATTATATTTGTATACAATATCCTAACTTTAATATGGCACTGAAAATTTTTACCATATTAAGATGCTCTGCTCGGCCCATAAGTCGTTACACAGTCTTACGGTGCGTCAATATTTGCTGACGGCTTAAGGTTTTTGCAAGCTTCTCAAAAAGAAAGCGCAGAATCCTTAGAAGACAAAGACGATAAAATATATTTTACAGTTTTTTCTTTGTCGTTTCTTAATGTCACCTTTAATTTGCCATCTTTTTCAATTATTTGGGTTTTTAACACAATGTTGATAGGCTGCAGATGAAGTAATTTTCCACGATTCGAAATATCGGAAATCAAAAAATTTGGTTGATTCTTTTCAACTATAGATTATTGGTCGAAAAAAGGGTTTTCGCTAAAATTGCGCCATTTTTTGAAATATTTCTTTCCCGATTGAAATTTTTGCACTAAATAGATCGAAAGCTGAGTTTAATCTGAAAATAGAAATCACCGAATTTGAACAAACAGTTCGGGAGAAAAGACAAGTACAAAGTGGCAGAAGTATGTTGCAATTAGTTCACTTTTTATTGTAGATCTACGAAAATATTTATTGGATTGGCTTCAAGTTCAAGTTCAGTATATATTTAAATATGCGTAAGGCTGGAAAAGGTTGACCTTTTATAATATTTTCAAAACTCTAACTGGTCATTATATCCTATCCGGAATTGAAAAAATTTAATTGTTAAAAAGCCTGTGGCAATCTCTCTAGAGATTGCAATAATTAAGAGAACATTTTTGAAGTTCATATTCTAAATCGCGCTGTGAGATCTATGTCAGATGTAAATTATTTGTTATTGTTATAAATATATATATGTATATGTATATGTACATGGAGTCAATATTTATGACTAAAATTTTAAGTCCTTATATTCGCTGGCTGCTTTTCTTATTTTTAGTGTTCCATTGCACTAAATATTTTCCATATATTGAGAGTTATAAGGTTCACCTGTTATCCGTGATACAAAAATTCTATAAAGTATTTTCACTTCGAAATTTCTGACACTAGACGTGTTTGCTCAGAAATGTTTGATCTGGGCAGTTATGAAATATTCAATTTGCAAATTTTTTAATTATTTGTGGGGCAATTTTCTAAGCAGGTCCTATAATATTTATTACAAGTATGGATCTATAAAAATATTTGTTTCTAGTCGTTCTTCTTAGGTGGCAGGAAAGAGTTATTGTTTTTTACTTTTTTTTTCAAAACTAAGGTTCAGCTACCTGGTCATAGGAACATCCCAGGGAGCTGCAAGGCTGATGACGAGATAAGGAAAAATTATAACCCCGGTAAACACATAATGTGGGCATACCTCTTTCCTCGGCTAAAAGGAAAAAGTCAACGGCAGCAGAGAATTAAGTTTTTACTACTTCTAAGCCTGCCCTCCTTAAGCATAAAAACCGGCGTATTAACCAGACACTGTGTTGTGAGAACTCATGGTAAAAAGATGGGAGTTATTTCTCAAACTACTTTTCCGCCACTGCACAGCTCTCAATGTTTTCCGTTATCGATTTTTTTTTAAATTTTTTTGATGAGTTAGAAACTCTTGCATTTCTTTGCCTCCTGAATTTTGTAAAATACATCAAATGGAGAACCAACATAGGTATCACCACAAGATCAGGGTTCTGTGATCGAGCAACCTGTTAAATTAACTAACTGGCTGAGTTTTTCAATATCAATATATTGAGCGATTGGATTGAAAGTGTGTGGAAATTTAATAGACTTAAACGACTTTTACTTGCATTGATCTGTAACACTAACAATTACTAAAACAATATCCTGTCTACTTACAAACTTTTATTGAAATATCTCTGAAATTGTGAAACTTATTTGTATTCAAACGTAAATATAGTGAATCCAGTCAGATCTTCATCTTCTTGAGTTCGATTTAAATTTAGGTGGGCAAATCTTTTCGCATTCTGATACTTTCTTCAAATTTTAATGATGAAGGGCATACAGTCGACGAAGTTCACTGTCATGGGTTTTTGAACTTTTAAACATTTAAAAAATATTAGATGAAAATTATTTTTTATTAAAAAATGGTAGATATTTTGTTTATGAAAAGAGGGTAGCACGAAATAAACGTTTAATGTCAGATAGCTATGATGCTATGGAACTACATTTAAATTAATGTATCATGGACAACAGCACCGTAGTGTTTGAAGTTTGATGGATACTCTCGGTAAATGGTATCTATAAATGTATAAGAGTAATTATTCGAAAAACCTAGCAAATAAATTAGAATGGTAGAGAATTGCCGCGGATTACTTAAAGTATTGACTACGCAGTTCTATCCGAATCAGAAATCGCAGGGCACTTCCTTTTCTACAGAATAATATGCCGACATTGTACGAAAAAGTTCAAAAGAGCGTTTCTGGCTTAAAAGATATAAGCCATTAACATTTGCTGTTTATCTGATGGGTTATCTCTGTAGGAGTTCATATTCTTAGGCTAGTAGCCGAGTAACATCAAGCCTAAAACTATATAAATTCTTAACAAAATCGTAAATTTGAAAATTGAGGTTCTTAACAAAATCATAAATTTGAAAAAAATCTTTACTGCAGTAATGACAATTATTTATGAAAATTAGAAGGCTTGCTGCATTGAAAAAAGTTCTTTTGTAATTAAAATAAACCAATAAGTGTCTTTCTGTTTTTATTGAGAATTGACCTCTTCAAAAATTTAGCACATCCAATGAACTTTGAGAAGGTTCTGTTGTTTGTTATACCCTGGAAGACTTAAGGATGTTGCTATTGGTTCAAATCGTAGTAGATTACCAGAGGGGTGGAAATTCCGGAATTTTTGATTCAATTCGGATTTGTTTAGATTTTCATGGAGAAAAGAATATCTTACTTAGATAAAATTGCTGATATATATTAATATTTTCTACTTATAAAAAGTGATTTTAGGGAGCCATCGGAAAGTTAAAAAAAAAAAACATATACACACAATGTTGTCCTCCAATGCGTCAATTGAAGCGGGCTTGTCTGTATAGACATCAGACACAGCACTACAAAAAATAATGTAAAGGCGTCTAATCGAACGATCTAGGCGGCCAATTGACCGGTGCCGAACGGGAAATAAAATGTTCTTCGAACTCGCTTCTCAATAAGTCCATTGTTACGCGTGGTGTGTAGCATGCGGCACCGTCTTGTCAATATGACATGTCATGCAAATCAGGCTCTTGCATTTTGGGCAAAAAAAGTTAGATGTTATCACACGGTAGCGCTCATCATTCACAGTTACGTTCGCATCATCTTAGAAGAAGTACTGTCCAATGATGCCGCCAGCCCATAATCCGCACCAAACTGTGCCTTTTTCTGGATGCATTGGTAGCTCTTGCAATGCTTCTGGCCGATCTTCACTCCAAAAATGATAATTCTGCTTATTTACGCACGCGGAAGAAGCGCGCGATGAACTTTCTTGACAGAGCATGAATTACAATAATAAAATTCAATAATTTGCAAGCGTTGATCGTTTGTAAGACGATTCGTGGTTAAATTATAGACCAAACTGAAGATGTTTGACAGCCATACAAAACACGAAACGTGTGTTACCTATTTAAACCAGTATTGCCAAAAAGATAAAAGCCATAAAAATCACCCTTTATTTTTTCCTCAAGAAATATTTTACCAAATGTTTTAATCGTGTGTTGTATATTATAAATTATTTCAGCTCACCGTGGAATCATTTCACCGAGTGTCGTCGAACACACATCTCACGTACAAGTTTCACAAGATGAGGGTGCTGTGCTCTTATGCGTCGCTCAGGGATGTCCATCGCCAGAGTACAAGTAAGTAAATAACTACAAATTTTATTTATTATTTTTAAATTTAAGGTTATCTAAGGAGTCGTGGAGAAAATATTTTCGCTAAAAACTATAAATTACGGTTTCGGTTTATTTTTCGGCAAAGAACAATAATAAAACTGTTACACACATCTAAAAAAAGTATTATATATATATGAATGGTTGATATTCCTACTCCAGATCAGTGGACACTACTGTCCGCTATGTTGAAGTGAGGTTAGAGCGCGGGGTGTTTGTTTAATTTGTTTAGAATGCTGAATGCTGTCAGCTCACCTGAATTATATACACATATCGATTTTGGTGATGGACTTAAGGTTCCAAACAAATAATTTGTGTCAAATTTTGGATTATAGTGAATCGACGTTATCGTCAATCCGTTGATATGAGTGCAATAAAAAGTGATCGAGATGTGGTGGAGCATTTCACGTTTATTTTTTATTAGTCTGATATTGTGCACGAAAGTCAAGTGGTAAAAAAAGAATATTTTCTGATCGTTACACTGGATTTGTGACAAAAAAGCTTCTGACGTTCCTACCAGATTAATATATGTATCATACCAAAGGATATCACAATGAACGAATATATGGATAAAATACAATCGGACACCTACCGCATTCACTTGAAAATAAGTTTTAAAAAATAGTTTGGATACTGATTTACTCGTTTTGCAGAACCTTCGTCTTTTTAAATTCATAACAAAATCATAAATTTGCGTGAGTTATTTACTATCAAACATCCTGATAAGCTAAAATAATATGTCCCTTAACAATTACTATAACAGCTTTTATCTTGAAATTAAAGTCTTGCATAATAAAATTTATGATTAAAAATAATTAACATAATTAATTGCACATTTTTTTGCTGAACTTTTTTCGATTTGAGTTTAACTTTCGCTTTTCAACTATTTCGAAAAATTTTGTTTGTTTTTAGTTGGCTTTGAGATGATTCCACTTAATCTGTTGTAAGTACGTTGGGGGAATCGAAAATATGATAAATTAGAGTTCATAAATGTAATTAAGAGAACAAGACACACAAGGCTATAGAATCTTATGAAAAAAGAAGCAACAAAAAAAGAAAACAGCCACAACACCCACATACAAAACGTGTCAGTTAATCAAACCAAAAACAAAACAGGGAAGCCACAGCTGAGCCATAAACTCATAAATAAATAAATAGCCAAGTGACGAACCTTGAGCCCGCCCTTAAAAGAACGAAAGGACGAAACTGCGCAAACAAAATGTGAAAACCGCAAGAAAATTATTTGTTGTTGCTGCTGTAATGCTGTGGCTTAGTTGTTATGACTCTCATAGGCGCTACGAATAGAAAAAGCGTGCTAAAATGAGACATTTGTCACATTCCATTTTAATAAAATAGTGAAATTGACGCACATAAAGTCATAAAAAACATTTGCGTTTTATTAAAAACCACCAAAACGGGTGGACAACACCAATACCAAGGCTACAGCAATACACCAAGACGCTGGTTCTGAATCTTGAATAAGTAAAGAAAGGAAAGGCATACAATAACTAATAAAAATAAGCTTTTGTTGTAGTTGTGTGTGGCACATTGAAGCTAATAAGGACACAAAGGACATGCCACTACTGAGACCACCATTACGATTATTACCAAAACTGCTGCTACGGTTAGTGGATGTTGTTAATAGATGCTTTGTTTCAAGAAGCAATACAGTCCTTTGGCAAAGTAAGGAATTGCAAAACTACTCCGAAAAGCTTCTTGGAAAATCAAGTTTTTGTATAATATATAATATTCACAATATTTTAATAGTTTAATGCAATGCAAAGTTCGCTTAGTTGATAACCGAAATGATTTGTAAAAAGACGTAGATGTGTGTGATACTCTTAAAATTAATCAAACGAACCGAAGGGATGTTGATGGAAAAGGAGTTGAGAGGATAATTTTGTTGGTGTTATGTTAGTTGTTGTCGTTAATACCACTTGGAAATTGGCAGAACTTGTTTATTCCTTCGTTCAAACGGAGACGAAGAAAACAAGCATATTCTACTAGTGTGTAGGGAAGAAGAGTCGATTTAAGGGTACGTCCATATAGGAGGTTAGTGTCGGATTCATTCCATGCTGGAAATACGTTGAGCATGTCGGGACCGAGTCTTAATAGGTAAAAATGGAGTCATCATAGATCGGCTCGTGTTGCGGTTGGCCACCATGATAGTTAATTATTTCTGCTGCAGTCCGCACTTTCTTCCTGTTGTACCCGGGAGGCAGTTTTGCTTCAGCCAAGTATCAGTTGGATACTTGCGGTAGCGCCTCATCAGTACATATTATCTGGAAAGCATTGTTATATTACGCTCTTTAACTGAGAGCATATGTGTCTCGCAATGAAGGAGGCTGACAGAATGCAGCGTTACTTTTCGCAACACAATCATCAACCTTTATTTAAATTCACATCGTCATCCTTATTTGATACTTTGATTTGTGATAAAGTCTCAATAGTAGGTGCTAGCGCTTTCGCAAAAAGAATACCATCCAAGGAAAGAGGCGAAGCATTCTCCGTGAAATGCAACATTGTTCGAAGTGCAACCCCGATATGTAGAATTGTGAAAGATAACGAATTCATCATGACATTTAATGAGATGGCAGAGAGGTGAAGTCCGACTCGAGTTTCTTGGCACCAATTAGGACGCTTCGTTTACACTCTAAAACTTGGATACTATTGTGGCTTCGACCGAAATGAAAATGGAATGTGGATTAGAAACAAGCTATTAGAAAATGTTTTATGGAGATTGGTTGTATTAAAGGGATTTTCATGAACGGATTCTGATGTGACACCCTAACTAAGCTGTGTGCGACACAAGGAGCTTCTGAGCGACCCCAAGGCGTATAGAAATTGGACGAGAATTGAAAAGAGATTGAAGAAGGAGTGGAGAGAAAGTTCAAGGGTTTATATTGGCTACGTTTAAATTCCACACATAGAATAAGATTCAGTTGCTGCTACCCCTACGCGGAATGATTGTTGATGGAAGGTATGACTGTGGTACCAGTGACAGAAAACAAACGTCCAGTTGCTTCGAACTTCATCTGAAGTAGTTTGTTGTGAATTCAGAGGCATTGAATATTTTTTTTTAAATTCTACCGAATTCTACTAAAAAAAGAGGACACTGCACATTGTGGGCGATCTCTTTCAGAATCAGGATCTTGATTTCCATTAGTTGCTTGTAATTTTTATATATTTTCAGATTAAATTTCTTCAGCTTTGATTTTTCGCTTAGTTTATTTCTTAAGCTTTCACTCAGAATTACCTCAACGCGGGAAGCGGGAGATTTGATACTTTTTAGCAGAAGATTTGAACAAATGCAATTCCGATCAGTGAGGAAAAAGAACTATTGGTTGTTGTTGTTATGTTATTTTCAGCCAAAGTATACTGTTATGGTCCAGCGGAAATGTAACGGTAATGGACTATCGACGTAATTCTTAGAATTTGTTTTTTTTTCTGTTATCCTTGCCATTGTAGCAGTTGTAGTCGTATTGTGCTTCTGGTGACAGTAACGCGTATTCAATGCTACCGGTGTGTAATAAAAATAAAAACAAAAAGAAAAAAATGACGAAGCGTAGTAGGTACTTATGCCCTTGTACTTTGGCGAAGTGACAAGGGAAATGGAAAATGTAAGAATTATTGCAGCACTAAGTCTCAGACGTGAGCACATATACACTCACACACGCACACACCCACACATGCACACATACGTCGTATTTTATGAAGAGCTGTTAAGTAAAAGGATAGTGGGAAATATAAGACACCTAAACGAGGACAACAAAATAATTGTATATGCACCACTACAACAACAATAAAAACTAAAATACAATATACAGCAATATATACATATATACATACGAAATGTTTGCGATAGAAGTATATAGATTTTAGCTTTATAGTGCGTGCCATAACACTGAGCGTATATGTATATATGTTTGTCTGTTCTTACTGTACTGAGTGTTATTATTTGAAAGCATCTTAAATAGCATATCTGTATGCGAGCAATGCTCGAGTAAAATGGAATCGTTGAAGTGCAGAACATAGACTCGTTCGAGCATGTCGTACACGCATACACTTAAGATTTACTTAGACATTCATACATATTGAATGGACTTGACAGTGTGGAAAAAATAAAGAAGAAACATGATATTGGCAAGCGTGGAATTGTTGAGAAGTTGAAGTGGAAGCAGCTGCAGCAGACGTAGGCGGCAATAGCCAATGGTCAAAGTCGAATCTCATGTGTGATTCAGTGTGTCGCGCGTACTAAAAAAAATTATTTTTGTTTTTTGGATTTTGGTTTTCGTACATTCCGCAGGGAAATAGAAATAAAGCTTCCCAGAGTTATTCAGAGCTTAAAAAATCTTTATATACTTTTTTGAGTAGGCAAAAAAAAAAGTTTGGTTAGCATTTGATAATTTGATTTTAAACAAGATTGATTGAAGAGAAAGACACAATATAGTAACAAAAGATTAAAACCAAAATTATTTTTAATTTTTAGAATCGTTCTGACATAAATATTAATTAGAATCTTTGAAATAAGTTATAATATTATTTATTGTAGTTGAAAGTCTGAGTTTTTTTTAGAAATTTCTCAAAAAATATTGAATATTGATAAACATTTTTCAATTTTTTAATACTTAGAATAAAAAGCACAAATCATAAAATTTAAAACAAAATATAACTAATAATATTTATTGGGTTGCTCCAAAAGAAACCGGCGATTTTTTAAAAGAAAGTAAATATATTTTTTTTAATTTTATAATGAATTCTAATCTAAATGAAATTCTCATTTTGTTTGATGACTGAACCAAGTTAGATTTTATAGACATTTTCGAAAGTTTAACCATGCAATGAGTTCTGCAAAGATCGAAGTTTCAGGCTCAGTTCAATCACCATCCGAATCGAATCATCATCAACTTCACTTGGTCGACCTGAACGTGGCTTACCTTTGAGTAAAATATGTCCCGAATTGACGC